GGTTTGTGTTCCACTCTGTTTTTGTCTTATTTTTGTTTCAAAAATAATTTTTCTTTAATAGTTAGTCTTCAGATTTTAGTGGCATATCATTTTTCGCATAAATATTTGTGGAAATACACATTCCTCCTACCCGTGTTGAACCATTTGTGACAGCAGCTCTAAGACCACTGTATCTTGGCCATTAGTGCTCGTGTCTGCTTTCCCAGTAGTGGGCCAGGCATTGGGACTTCTTTGGGGCCTAACGTCTTGGCTTCTGCAGTTTTGGAGATGTATTTCTTTTTTTATAAATAGCACTGTTGGGTGGTAGCAGCTGGCAGCAAATAATCTGATAATGTAATTTCAATTTTATCTTACTACTACTTTTATATGTGAAATGTTGTAATGGTCATGTTTTTAAAAATATTTTTACTTATTTCTAGGAGAGAGAGAGAGAGAGAGAGAGAGACAGCATGAGCAGGGGAGGGTCAGAGAGAGAGGGTGACACAGACTCTGAAATAGGCTCCAGGCTCTGAGCTGGCAGTCAGCACAGAGCCCGATGCAGGGCTCGAACCCACGAACCGCGAGATCATGACCTAAGCGAAAGTCGGACGCTTAACCGACTAAGCCACCCAGGCGCCCCTGTAATGGTCATTTCTTACCCTTTTTGGAAATAGGATATAGGGTCATTGATTTTTGTGGCGCTTTCTCGTTTATGGGAACAGTCTATGTGTTTATTGTTAAAATAGGAAGTTTATCTCAGCAGTGCCCCTTGCAGTCTGCATGACCATGAGGAAGCTATAACTCCGTGCTGCTGCAGTTTTCAAGTTTCCAGGATAGTGTGGTCACCGTGTGTGCCTCCTGGTGGTCGTGAGGCGTCTGAGCAGGTGCACGGACAGCAGTGTGTTAAGCATGGCATATGCTCTGGGACATTTGTGAGAGTCTTGTGGCCCCCTTTATGATTATTATGGAAGGAGAATTTTGAATTTCAAAACTAAATGGCACATTTTATTTATTAACAAGAATTATTTTAATGTTTGTTTTTAAGAGAGAGAGAGAGAGACACGGAATCTGTGTCTGTTTTTAAGAGAGAGAGTACGAGCGGGGGAGGGACAGAGAGAGAGGGAGACATGGAATCTGAAGCAGCTCCAGGCTCTGAGCTGTCAGCATAGAGCCTGATGTGAGGCTCGAACTCACAAGAGTATGACATCACTACCTGAGCTGATGCTTAACCGACTGAGCCACCCAGGCACCCTCTAATGGCATATTTTAAAGATTGTTTAACAAAATTGCAAGGTTGGATAGTTGGCTGTATTTCCTAGAGATGGATTCAGCAAAAGAAAATTCAGGATTTTGTCGTCCCTAACTTTTTATTACGAAAAATTTCAAATTGAAATAAAAGTTCAAAGAGTAACATTAGTATGCCCGTCACTTAGATTTAGAAATGAGTAGTTGGCTATTTTCACTTGATCCTATGTGTATTTCATTTTCTTTTCCTGAAGCGTGTGTAATTCCCTTGCAGACGTGGCCGTCCACCTCCAGAAATCTCGGCATGGGTTTCCTGAGGGTAACTGTGCTCGGGTGCACAACCTCAGTGTCACTGGTGTGTCCTCCCGTGGTGTCCTCCACTGCTGTTTGCATTTCTCCACTCGCCCTGAGTGTCCTGTACAGCTTTTCCTTCCAGACTGCATCCTCGGGGGGTTACTGTCCCCTGCTGGAGCAGTCCATGGACATTCCGAAGGGTCTGGCCTGCTTGTCTCCGGGGCACTTAGTGTGGCTCCTGTGTCACCTGTTTACTGTATACTGCAGATCGGTCCAGAGGCTCGAGTGACCCCAAGGCTGGGAGGTGTTCCTGCTCACGTTGGGGGACCCGGGCTGCATGGCCCCTCCTGGGACACCCTTCCCCACCGGCCTTCACCTCACGGTGCCAGCATCTGCTGGGCCTCTCCAAACCTAGCACTGCCTTGTCTGTGCCTTTTGACAGCATTTTCTGTAAATACTTGCAAGACACTTTGGTAATTCTCACTCTTCTAGAAATGAGTATTTGCTATATCAGCAGGTAAAGTTTTTTTAAAAAATTCGTCTTCAGTTTGTGTTCTTTACTAAATTAACCATTAGTAGACTAACATAATAAGGTAAAGGTGGCATGTTTAATAAGTCTCCCTCCCTCCCCACCGCCACCAAGTTTTGCCCTTTCCAGTCAAGAGTGAGATTGTGTTTCAGGAAAGTTTTTCGAAGCATCGTACGGCGAGTGTGGGAGCAGCACAGTGTTCATGTCAGTGAGCGCTCGGTAGTGTGTCCCTCTTGCCCGGGCTCCCCGTTTCTCTCCGGATAAGACTCACTGCAACTCAGAAATGGGAAAGGACTTTGATCTAAAATTTTGCTTTCTTATATTATTCAGAGAGCTCCCTTTGCAGCCTCCCCCCACTGCACTGTGCCTTGCACTTTTCAGAAGAGTGACAGGTGGGACACGCTTGTCCGGGGGACTGCAGTGGGGCATAGTACCAGGAGAAGCTTGAACGTGCCTGTGACGAGGGTGCACTCGGAACAGGAGCAGGCTCGGTCTCTCGTGTTGCAGAACCAGTGTAATGCCTGGGGCTCCCACCTGCTGATGTGTGTATGGTGCGGTGTTCCCCGGTCTTTGAAGTGGTTTAGTGAAGAGCAGTGGGGGTGGGGTGCTCTCCGTTTGGGAAGTGGTACATCAGGTGAGGGGGGAGTGGGTAGAGAGGGCAGAAGAGAGCAGGCGGTGCCGGTCAGGGTCGGCCGCTTGCCTGCCCAGGCGGGGACGGGTGTTGGAAGCTCACTCCAGGTAGCAGAGTATAGGTTTGTTGGTCTTGCCTGATGGCTTATGCTGTGCACGCCGTAGGCAGGGGACTGGGTCAGGGTTTTGCCGGGAAAGTGACGGGACAGGAAGAGTAAGAAGATGGAGGAAGGCAGGGGAGGGGCTGTGGTGGTGAATGTCTGAGGAATCAGAGCACTGAGTCCCTGAGGAAGATCGTGTTGCAGAACCAGTGTAATGCCTGGGGCTCCCACCTGCTGATGTGTGTATGGTGCGGTGTTCCCCGGTCTTTGAAGTGGTTTAGTGAAGAGCAGTGGGGGTGGGGTGCTCTCCGTTTGGGAAGTGGTACATCAGGTGAGGGGGGAGTGGGTAGAGAGGGCAGAAGAGAGCAGGCGGTGCCGGTCAGGGTCGGCCGCTTGCCTGCCCAGGCGGGGACGGGTATTGGAAGCTCACTCCAGGTAGCAGAGTATAGGTTTGTTGGTCTTGCCTGATGGCTTATGCTGTGCACGCCGTAGGCAGGGGACTGGGTCAGGGTTTTGCCGGGAAAGTGACGGGACAGGAAGAGTAAGAAGATGGAGGAAGGCAGGGGAGGGGCTGTGGTGGTGAATGTCTGAGGAATCAGAGCACTGAGTCCCTGAGGAAGACCACGGACAGTGGCACGGTGGTGAGGTCACGGAGGGAGGGAAGCGTGGCAGCCGGGAGCTGTGGGGCTGGTGTGGCCGTGTGAGGGAAGGGGACGGTCGAAGGTGGTTGAGTTGACGGTGTTGTGGTCCTGGGTGATGAGAAGGTGCGGGCTGTGGCCCTGGAGGCTGGGGCCGGAGGGGCAGGTGGTTAGAAGCCAGGATGTCCAGGACTTGAGGGCGAGCTGCAGAGTCCTTGGTGCCGAGAACACCGAAGAGGAGAGTGGGCACCGGGTGGGGGGGGGGGGCTGGAGGACCGGCTGGCAGGGGCTTCAACACCCCCCACCCCCACCCCACTGTGTGGTGGAGGCCAAGGGAGGGTCCGGGAGGTCTGGAGGGTCCTGAGGCATTTGGCTTCCTGGAGGCGGGGCCCCGAGGGGCAGGGCTGTCATGTGATGGCTGCCAAGGGAGCTGGGGCTGCTCCCTCAACAGGGGGAGGAAGGTCAGGGAGCGAGGATGAGTGGCCACAGGCGGACTTGGGGAGACGGTTGGCAGCCCCTTGTCAGGCAGCCTTGGGCCGCGAGGCAGGCAGAACCTGAACCTGGAACCTTAGGGGGAAGAGCCGCGTCCAGAGACGTGTTGTGTCCTCACTGTGTGTGCTGCCTCCGTCCTTCCTGAGCCCTGCTCAGCAGGGAGAGCCTGCTGGGTCCCCCAGCGAATTCATTCTCAAATCGGGTTATTTTCAAGTCCATCTTCCTCGAATAATGAAAAAGCTTTATATTAGTTAAGAATTTTTAGTGGTAAAATGCATTATTCTCCGCCCCCTCCCCCATTAGGCTTTTTAATTTTATTCAGTTTTGTTACATTTTTGCCTCTAGAAAATTAATTCAGCGCTGCCTTCAGTTAAACCTGTGAACACAGGGCCGTGGTTGTGCGTACGAGGGCTGCATACGCAGAGCCGAAAGCAGTCCCATGCGTCGTGCGGTTTGCAGTGGACTTTCTCACGGTCTGGGGAGTTCGTGTTGGCACATGAATTACTGTGTGGACTGACCCTGGGGTCACATTTGGCTTGAAGGATAAGCTGCTTCTCTAAGATGACTTGACTGTCACATGGCTGTGGAACTTGCTGGTCTCTTCCTCTGGCTTCTGGAGGCCTGAGGGGCAGAAAGGGCACCGTGATCTCGCGGGCTGTACGGCTCTCTTGCCCCGCTGCCGCCCTGCTGAGTTGGCGCCCAGCTGTGCTTTGGACCTGAGCTTGTCTCCTGTGCTGTCCCTGCTCCAGGCATCCCGGTGCCCTTCCTCCCTGTGACATCCCCCCCCACCCCCCCGCCGGGGGCTCCGTCTTTGTGTCCCGTTGAGATGGGCCATGGCAGCGTCAGTGGTCACTGACGCCCCAGTGTCCGCCCTTTACTGATCCTGGCGACAGGAGGGCTGTCGGGGCAGGGTGAGGGCTAGGCGCCCCTCCCTTTGCCCCCCACTGTGTCCTTGGCACCCGGGTCTGAGGAAATCAGGCTAATTGCTTCTGGGCAGAGCACTTCATAGCTGACATCATGTTTTAAGTTTTCTGTTAGCTGACGGCTCACCCGGGTAGATGCTCTAGTAACGAACTATTCACTGTTTTACAGAGTCCTTATGTTCACACATGTCTCTGCTGAACTTGTAAAAGAGGCACTTGGATGATGGACTAACAGGAACGTTGAGAGTCTGTGAAAAGTTTCAGATCGGAGAGTTTTCAATTTTCACCCTAGTCCGGCAGCTGTGCTGCTCACGTACATACAGATGAATGAAGACCCCATTCGGGAAGACACCTGGCCAGCGGTCCAGAGCGGATGCAGGTAGGCGGTGCGGCCCAGTGTTCTCCATCGTGCCACACTGGGGGCCTCCGGGGGTGCGGCCACACGGCTCCAGGCGCTGGCTGTTCTTCCAGCCCTGTGATTGCCAGTGTTTCATACACATACGTGTGGAAAAACAGGTTCCTTGTTTGACAGGCAGGGACCATGTTAGTGTTTTTCTCTGTGGCCTTTCATCTCCTGCAGGTTAGACCTCCAGCAAATTCACCAAGTGAAGTGTAAATACCTGCTTAATGGGGTTGTAATCAGGGGAGGATTTGTCATTTCTTTTTGAAAGAGTGAAAGGGGTTTGACTAGAGTAGAAGATTTAGGGTATATATTATAGTAGTTTTGAGAAAAAAGCTTTTTGTATGTTTATTTGGAAGAACTTCATTGGAATGAAATGGATGGAAATGAAACAGATATTTAGTAGAAATTACCCCCTCCTTGGGTGGCCCACAGTTCATACAACTAGAATAGAAGGTTACGCTTTGCGTGATTTTTTTTTTTTTTTTCCCTCCCCCCTCTCTCCTCCCCGGAAACTAGGATAATACGGGCCGCACTGTGAAGTAGTTAGGTCCTACTTTCTTTAGGACTGGAAGTCTTCTCCATTCCGGAAATAAAGTCTGTCATAACATTTTAAGATTCTTGGATAAATGAGAATTAGGCTAGCAAAACCAAAAAATCTACAGAATGGGTGCTGTTTGATTTAGAATTGTTCCTTGTATTTAGTAACTACAGTATTTGGAATTCCTTTGTAGAAGAACCACAGGGATTCCGATTTTCCAGTCCCCTTTTTCTTTTATTTTAGCTCCTCTTTTGTAAAGATTATATGGATTCCACTGTTGAACATTTGTCTGTAAGATTACCTTGGGTCAGAGATGACAGACGGAAGTGTAAGCAGTCTGCCAGTGTGTTGTTCCCATCTGGGCCCTCGGCTGCGTAGACACGGGTGCACTTCACCTCTTCTCAAGCCCTGGTTTTTATTGCCTAAACAGGGGTGTGCTGTCGACGGTACCTGCCGAAGTTCTGAGGAAGAATGAACTTGTGTGTCCGGGCTCAGCTCAGTGCCAGGCACACTGTAGCTGTTCTGCAAAAAAGCATTGTTACTGCTGATCATAGTACTTACAATAAAATATTGTTATTTTGTTACTTGTAGAAATTGTTGTCAGGTGTTTTGTTGATCAATGAAACCTCCCATGTTTCTGCCATTTGAAACCGTAATTCATTTTCCAGAGTTCTTTTTATGCACACCATTCCAAATTCAGCACTCCTGTTTTCTTTATTGATTTAAACTTTTTAAAATGTTTCTTTATTTTTGAGAGACAGCCTGAGCTGGGGAGGGTGTTTCAGACACAGAAACTGAAGCAGGCTCCAGGCTCTGAGCTGTTAGCACAGAGCCCCACTTGGGGTTCGAACTCAGGAACTTCGAGATCATGACAAGCTTAAGTCAGACGCTCAACCAACTGAGCCACCCAGGTGCCCCATTTTCTTTGATTTGAATCCTAGTCAGAATCTGTAAACCAACAGATTACAGTGGTGTGTCACGTGGTGTGTCGTGATGTGTCACGTGGTGTAAGTGCCTGAAGGATTTAAACCGAGAGAGGCTGTTGCTCTTAAGGGAGAGATTGTTCATCTTAGCCAGTAATTTGATCTTACATTTTTCTTATTCCTCGACATTTATAAGAGCGTGTGGCATAGGCTGAAGACAGTTGTGTGTTCCGGGTGGCCGGTTGTTAGACACGTTAACATGAGACCATGGAGTCTCTTGTGTTCCGCTGTTGTGTGGTATGTCTGAATTTGCAAAGATTGCTGATCTGATCAGTATTGTTTATAAAGTTGTTTTAAACCATTCTTCCCATTAACATAGATTAAGACTCTGTTGCTTTTAAACTCGTATGTCCATTATGAATGTGCCCATTTACAAATAAAGAAAATTCACCCAAAAGGGGGTTTCTTTCTCATGCAGCATCTACTGTGTTTGATGAAGGGGGTGCCGGGTGAGGAATCTGATACCGCCACAGAGGTAGATAGATCAGCAGCGGTTCCAAGTTCTGCGATCTGTGTTTGACATAGAGCGTAGGTGATCAGTAGCAATTTGAAAGTTGAATATTTGTGTGCTCTTTATTTAGTTTGACATATTAGAGATTTCTAGTTTTTTTTTTTTTAATGTTTATTTTTGAGAGAGAGTGAGAAAGCGAGAACATGAGAGAAGGAGGGGGAGAGAGAGAAGGGGAGACACAGAATCCGAAGCAGCTCCAGGCCCTGAGCTGTCAGTACAGAGCGGGCCTCGAACTCACGAACCTCAAGATCATGACCTGAGCCAAAGTCGGATGCTTAACTGTGCCACTGAACCGCCCCAGAGTTTTCTATTTTAAAGTAACTTATTATTTGTGTAATTCTGTTGAAATTTAATTGGTTACTAAAGTTGTAGTTTATATACATCTAATGACAGGGGACAGCAAGTTCTATTGTAAACTATACTGTTTTATATATATAATTATGTATACACACACACATACACAATATTACACTGCACTATTTTTCATGTATTTCCCCCCCGCTAAAGTGACCTTTTTTTTTGGTTTATCCAAGGTTGCAGTTTTTCTGCTTTGTAATGTACTTTAATCATACTGATAAATACAGGGAATGGTAATGCTGCTTAACCATGTACATAATGCTCAGATTTATTTAGCAGCTACTTTTGCTGTGTTTAATTAAAATAATTTTAAAACTTTGATCTTATTTTTATCCAATTAATAAAAATTCATTGTTGAAAATGTCAAGTAGTGCCAAAGACTTCTAACAAAAAGGCACTCTATTCTGATATTTACCTTCAGTGTTTGTAAATACTTTGTGGTGATACATTTCTCTTGAATCGGATAGCATTGAACCAACTCAGGCAATGCGATGACTTTCTTTTTTTGGGGTACTTTTTATTGTTCCTGGAATTTAGTGATTACTTAATTTTTTTTGTATTTGCTTAAATTTGTTTGCAACTTGAAGTCTCTTAAAGCCTACAACAGCTTTATAAAGCTCCGTGTATTATGCCACGTGGCCAGTGCCACCCATGGCCCATCTGTCTGCGGCTCCCTAGTGACCGCGCCCTTGCCGTCTGAGCCGTGTCCTGTAGCCGCCGCCGCACTGTTGTCCTCGGAACTCCACTTTTCTCGCTGGAGCAGGATTCTCCTGGTTTCTGCTTGCCGTCCCTCCCGGTGTTGGTGTGTGCTCTTGCCTAGGAGGGGCCCGTGCGGCCGCAACAGCTCCCAGAGTGGACCGTGAACGAGTTGGTGGTTAAAGTGGCAGGTGGAACGTGTGGTCGTTGATTTGTACTCTCGACTTTTCTGCACATATGAAATGGTCTCCGATATGGTTTTCCAGAAGTGCACCTTGAAGATGAGATTCTTTCTGAGACCTGCGTCAATGTCATCATCATGCTGCGCACCCCTCCCCCCCCCGGCCGTGCAGGTGGGGCCCATGATTCTAGGTGGAGGCCACTTGTCCTTCAGAATTCTCTAGGCCTTGCTCCATCTGTGGACTTCGACGTCTCAGTGCTGCCATTGGGGAAAGTTGGGTGCTGTTTCCAAACCTGTGTGTGTGTGTCCAGTGGTCTTTGCTTCTCCTCTGGAAACTTCTGGACAGGTGTTTTATGTGCTGTCAACTGTATAGCAGTCAATGTCCAGTTGGGTCTTTTTTTCACTTGGTGACTTTTCCAGTTGGTCTGTCCTGTCCTCGTGGGGGTTCGGAGCTCCTTCCTCGACGGTGCCCATCCGCCTCTCTCTGGACGCATGCTACTTGCATGTTCTGTTTCTCAGGTTGATCATCTTTTTTTTCCTGAACTTTGCCAATTATTCATTCGCATTTTCCCATTCTTAGGAAGTTAATTGACTTTATTTTCCAACCTTTTAAAAAGATTTTAGTATGCATTTTAAATTTCTAGGAGCTCTTTTTTGTTCTGTTATTTCTGCAGGTAGCTTATACTTCTGAGGCTATAAATTGTATTTTTCAAAAACTTATTTTTAAAAATTTATTTATTTTGAGAGAGAACAGGCATGCACGAGAGAGCAGGAGAGTGGCAGAGAGGGAGAGAACGAACCCAAGCAGGCTCCATGCTGTCAGTGTGGAGCTTGATGTGCGGCTCAAACCCATGAATCATGAGATTGTGACCTGAGCCAAAATCAAGAGTTGGTCGCTCAACTGACTGAACCACCCAGGCACCTCATATATATATATATATATTTTTTTTTTTTTAACATTTTGTTTATTTCTGAGAGAGAGAGAGAGAGAGGCAGCATGAGCAGGGGAGGGTCAGAGGAAGAGGGAGACACAGCATGTGAAACAGGCTCCAGGCTCTGAGCTGTCAGCACAGAGCCCGACGTGGGGCTCAAACCAATGAACCGTGAGATCACGACCTGAGTCAAAGTTGGATGCTTAACTGACAGCCACCCAGGCGCCCCGAAATTGCATTTTTAAAAAGACTTTGTTGAACTGGGTTGGTCTGTTAGGAATGTCTTTGTGTCTGTTTACTTTTTAGTCTCTTGTCTGGAAGTTTCCCTTAAAGCTCCTAAGCTCCGAGGCGGGTACTCTGGCAGGCATAGAAAGGCTGTTTGGGAGCTGCAGGTGTTAAGTGACGTGCTCTCTCCTGAGCTCAGCACATTTGCTCAGCAGCAGGGACAGGGTCCTCATGATAGCCTCCTGTGGAGAGCTCACAGGCAGAGCTCCCACAGGGGGAGGAATGAGTGAGGTAGCAGGGCCAGAGGTCCTGAGTGTGGTGTGGACAAGATTGGTGAGGGTCCCTCATCTGAAGAGGTTGCTGGAACAGACATGGGTCTTTGTCTTTGGAAAATCTGCATCCACACGTAGGTGACTGCTGGTTACAGGCACTTGTTGGAGGCGTTGCAGTTCTGATCCAGATGATGGGAACACGGATGTCCCTGCAGCACAAGTCAGGTGAATATTTTGGTTTTCCAGTGCATATGAAGGTTACGTGTACATGGTACAGTAGT